AGTCCAAACCCCCGCTAATGCCCCGCCAAACATTTCACCAACACTGATCTCCTGCAAACCCCCGATACGAAAGTCGCAAAAAAGAGAGAAAAAAAATGTCTGGCTGTGTGATTTGCAAGAATCCTCTCGAGGTAGAAGTCGAGCGCGACGAAGAAGAAGAGTACGAAGGCAGCGCATCTTCGTCAGGCAAAGCACCCGCACCCGCCCCAGAAACGGTCCCAGATGATGTCCAATTGTCCTGCGGGTGCCACTTCCACTGGTAAATACCCTGTTCGAAATCTGCATGCGACTGCTAACTTTGGGAAAAAAATTCCAGGGACTGTCTTCTCTCAGCTTACGAAATAACTTCGTGCCCCAACTGCTCAAAAGAAATCTCCGTCACCGAAGACAACACGCAAAAGGTCCTCTGCAGACTCAACAATGAAGGCGGAGTCCAAGAAAACCTCGACATCCTACCTTTACTCGTAGAAGAATCCTACCTCAAAGCCTATCCCGAAGACCGCAAGGCCCGCGCATTCCTCGAGTTCTGTCGTGCAGGTGACTACAAGGCTATCATTGAGCTGCTGTTGGACGATAGTTCGGACGACGACGATGAGGATGAGCAAGGAGATGTGGAGATGAGCACTACGGATGATCCTGCGAAGGAAACGGGCATCGATCGGGTACTGAGGTATCAGGATCCAATTGGCGACATGCAGTCAGGTCTCCATGCGGCGGTACATGCGCAGAGTAGAGAAGTGGCTTGGTTGCTTCTCCTCCTCGCAAGTAACTACCCTCTGCTAGAATTCCCACCGGAGGTCTTCCAGGAAGCAGAGGCTATGGGTATCATGCGGGGTTTGACAGAGGACAAGGTCGATATCAGGAGCCTGAAGGATGCACAAGGCCGGACTGCAGAGGATATTGCGAAGGAGGTTGGCGGTGTGTGGCATGGATGGACTGGAAACAACCGCCTGGCGATTTGAAGTCATGGCATGTAGAGTGTACGTTGAACTGATCGCCACTGATCTCAATGTTCAACAAAAAGGTTCTTTGAATGATAGAAGGAGAAGACCCAGGACCATGTAGCTATATACCACTGAGAATTATATGTATGACATAGAGGTACTCATGCCCCCCCGTCGGTACCTTGCTGCTCATATGCTCTCCACTTGCTTCGTAACAATGTTCAGTATGCGTTTCACGCTTTTGGAAGACCCGAACTACTATGTACAATTACGCAGTTGTGCCAAATTTGGTAAAAATTTAAAATGACGACGAGAAGACTAGCTACTAGCATCCTTTCTTAGCCTCGGTTCATGCACGAATGGACACGAACCAAGCAAAAAGGATGTGAAGATGCACAGCCAGATATGTCTGCAGCACCCGCAAAAAGAATAGTTCGAAGAACCCTGAGCAAGCTCAGGCACGATGTCCCCTTCGTGGATCGAACACGATACCTCCAGATTTAGTGACCGAAGACTTCAGTCTGGCGCTCTCCCAATTGAGCTAAGGAGACGGTATTGTGTTGTTTGATGAAGAGATGCAAAAATTGTAAATCTATATTCTAAATGATTTAACTAGCTCAAAACTATTGTTGCCGAGTTGTCATTCCGTTATTCTTCAAGGATTGGATGTATTTGTGCCGTGTTGAAAATTGTTCCGAGCACAGTGGGGTGGGGCGGGGTAGAAACGGTGTATTTACGAATTGCCGAGTGCAGAGGAAGCATACGTATCTAAAGCGCATTGTCTTGGACTAGACTAAGAGGCCAATGCTAGAACCTATGAAATTACTAAAAACCACAGAAAATGAACAATCTATGATCAAGTGGTGGCTGCATTACAAGATCCCATGTATGCCAGCTCTGTTAAGTCTTCTAGGCCATACATCTGTGATCCCAGGGGTGCTGGTCTTTTCCCACAAGGTAGACGCATTAGTTTTTGTCATCTCTAGATGATGATACTTTTCGTAGATTGCTGTACTCTTTGATATTTAACGGTCTTGTAATAGTGTTTTTTTTTTCAAATATGGACTACTTCAATACTTCTGTTCTCGGTTTTTCCAGGAGGCATCACTATCGAATGATACGGGTCCTGCGCCGTATTAGGCAGGAGAGTGGAGCTTTCCCTGCAATGATTGCAGACCCACCCCATCATTATATATCTATGTCAACATGAATACCAGACAGTAGTCTCCTAGATAGTTGTTCCTCCTCTTTTTTTGTTGATTATAATTTTGTAATTTCATCGGGTTTCTGTAAATCCTGTAGTTGGTGATTTCCTAATCTGCCACAGTTGATAAGTAAGACAACGAAAAGTCAGCAACAGTAAACGGTGCATTCTCAGAACCAGAAGTATTCGGAGGTAAAAGATCAATATTTTGAATTCCACACCCTACGCCTGTACAAAAGGTCTCATTCATTTCGCCATAAATGCTCGTCCCCTGTTTCAACTCCTCGCTCCTCGCTTATGGTATCTCATGCTCGCATAAATGGTAGAATGTGTGTGATCGTTCTCGTTCACTCGTGAGTTCAGTCGTTCGACCGGAGTACGGGCCGTTTATTTCACAACACCCTCATCCGCATTGAAGCAGTCACCAAAGTCTTTGCTGTGCTTGTTGGAAGCGTGGTCGGTCAACATCTTGCGGCTCGTGGTGCCCTGGAAGGTCTGGAAGCAGGTTTTGCACTTGATGGTTTGGGCAGCGGCATTCTGGTGGCGCGTTAGCAATCCGGCTTGCAACAAGAGTAGCATGTGGTGATAGTCGCAAAGTCGTGCAAGAATATGGGGTACATACGGCCTTCAGTTGACTCTTGGCTTCTTTGGGGCCTGAGTCGCCCTTGCGGTCGCGCTTCTGCTGTGCTCTAACGGTTCGTTAGTTACTGCCCCTCTAAGTCGGGCCCAATCAAGGCAGTCGCGTACTTGGCTCCGTTGCCCATCTTGTGTTATCCTGACGACAATTAATGGCTATTTTTGTGAGTGCAGATTTGGTCTTGGAGAGTGCCTAAAGATGGAAGGTTGCCCAAGTGAAGCCCAACTGTCGCTGCGAGATATTTTGCTGCGGCGGGGAGGGTCCAGGCCGTAACCAGACAAAGGCGGTGATTGATATCCCGGCGCTAACCTGCATGTGACTAGCTCCACCGCGCTATCATGTGAAGGCCAATCCATCTCCTCCAGGGCGCGTAACGAATCGACCTTCATCAACTAAAGTTGTCGTCTGACTTGCTGTCAGAAATGACAGCAGCGGCGTCACGTTACTTCCGAGGAGTGACAAGAACGGTGGCCTGTTGCGGTGACTATCCACTGTCGCAGATTTGGGACGTCTGCAGCCTCATCACACCTAACACAACAATCTAGCAATTCGATCTGTCACCGAGTTCGACGTCACAGAACAGAGAAACATGTCTTATGAACTGTCTGTTGCGCGATTATTAAATTCAACGTATTTTTGTTAATATCACTTGGCTTTACTTCCATTCACTTTGGTGCTGCGCACACCTATTTTCCTCATTTACACCTACTTCCCTTACGCTTACCTTGCTTGTTGATATAGCGCTTCCCTAAGCAGTTTTGATTGTCTCTTTTTATCAATTTCCCTCTACGCCATGCCCAGCATCACTAGGAAGACACGCCTTCGGGCCGTTATAGCAATATCTTTCAGCTTCTTCTTGGCAGAGATATCGGTCGGCTTCTACACTCGTTCCTTAGCCCTTGTTGCAGATGCTTTTCACTACGTAAGTTTGACTGAGACCTGGATATGTTCACTTACACATCCACCATCCTCTTATCTTGCTCGCTCGTGCCTAACCTAAACTTTGTTCTAGCTCAACGACCTGATCGGTTTCATCATAGCCCTGGTGGCAGTCCAAGTGTCAGAACGCAAGAATTCCCCTGCAGACCTTTCGTTTGGTTGGGCGCGTGCCCAATTGCTTGGTGCCTTCTTCAACGGCGCTTTTCTACTAGCCCTAGGCCTCAGTATCGCCCTACAGTCTATCGAGCGCTTCATCACAATCGAACACGTCGACAACCCCAAGCTGATCTTAATTGTGGGATGTGTCGGGCTGTTTCTCAACATCATCAGCGCTTTGTTCCTGCACGAGCATGATCATGATCACGATCACGGGGGTGGCCACAGCAACAGCAGCAGCGACGGAGAAGTTCGATTATCGACCCCAAGACACGCCAATCATTTGCATCTAGTCATCCAACCTAAGAAACACGGCATGGATCTTGGTATCTTTGCTGTCCTACTGCACGTCATTGGCGACGCCATCAACAACATTGGCGTCATTATCTCAGCTGTAATCATCTGGTTCGTAAAGTCACCCAACCGCTTCTACGCCGATCCAGCAGTCAGTATGTGGATCGCCATTATGATATTTCTTTCTGCGCTGCCTCTTACAAAGCGGAGCGGTAAAATCCTCTTGGAATCCGCACCATTGGGCGTCAAGATTGAAGATGTCAAGCACGATCTGGAAGCCATCCCAGGTGTCTTGGGTGTACACGAGTTACATGTCTGGCGTCTGGATCAAAAGAAGGCTATTGCATCGGCGCACGTTAGGGTCAGTGATCCTGACATTGCGAGCTTCATGGAGAAAGCAAGGATCTTTTCTGAATGCCTGCACGCATATGGTATACACTCTGCGACACTCCAGCCCGAGCTTGCATCGTCTGGGGAGATGCTTGGGAATACTCCAGGTACATCCGAAGAAGTAACTCCGGCAATGCCCAGTGCTACGAGCACAGCACGGCCCAGTATAGAAAAGTGTCGCGTACCATGTGGGTCGTTGTGCGAGGAGCTGAAGTGCTGTAATTAGTGTTTAGTAGATTCTAAACTAAATTGATGAAACGATGTCAATATTTCCATCAGCATACCGAGCAGTCACTAATTGACGTCTTACCAAGCAATGAAGTCTGGATACAGTAGGTTCGGGTAATTTCGGTAGTAAAGGATTAGCTACGTACATAGGTAACGTGGGGCCCCGCAAAGCCACACCTTTAACACCATTACAGTTTGCTGACTTTTGCAAGCTGTATACTGAGGCATATGCAAAACCTGGCAGGATTTCTAAATTACCTGTTTAGTTAAAGTCAAACATCGTAGTTCAGACGTTGCGCTCTTTATTAGATCCAACTCATCTCATCATGGTCAACCCCGCAATCCACAAGTATGGAACTGACGATGGCTGGCACGGCGTGATTCAAGAAGGCGGAGAATTTCCCCCAGAAAAAGATCGATACCATCTTTATATCGGTAAGCCCGGCCAAAGTTCCTGCTGCAATTTCCTTTCGTAAACCCTCCCCCAAGAACAAATTCTCGATCAATTGACTTTACACCCTTCTACATCCCATCCCACCAACTCACCCCGAAACCAGGTCTCTTCTGCCCCTACGCCCACCGCGCCAACCTAATCCGGCACCTATTCAACCTCCAAGACTACCTCCCCATCTCCATTGTGCGCCCCTACCCAAAAGGCGAACCAGGCTGGCGCTTCGACGCCACCTATCCCGGCAGCACGCCAGACCACGTCTTCAACAGCCAATTCCTGCACCAACTCTACTTCCGCGACGACCCAGCCTACAAAGGCCGCTACACCGTTCCTATGATCTGGGATAAAAAATCCCAAAAAATCGTCTGCAACGAGAGCGCCGAAATGGTGAAATGGCTTCCGGCCGCCTTCTCGCAGCCATCCTCCATCGCCACAACGCTCTACCCCACCGACCTCCGTGACCAAATCGACGACATCAAAGCCTGGCTCACAGACCTCATCTGCAACGGCGTCTACAAAGCCGGTTTCGCTCCGTCCCAAGCACCCTACGAACAGCACGTTGTCCCGCTCTTCGCTGCCCTCAACAAACTCGAGTCCTTGCTCCATAGCAACGGCGGCCCGTATATCCTCGGCTCCCAGATTACCGAGCTGGATCTCTTTGCCTACCCGACTATTGTGCGCTTCGACTCGGTCTATGCCCAGCATTTTAAGACGAATCTCGGCTTGATTAGGCATGACTATCCTGTGCTGAACAATTGGCTCAAGGGCTTGTATTGGAATGTGCCGGGGTTCAAGGAGACTACTGAGTTTAGGCATATTAAGGAGAATGTGAGTTTTCTATTGTTTTCTTGTGCTCACCACCCTTTTTTTCCTCCCCTGTTTTTCTGTTTGGGGGGGGGGGGGTGTGCTTGTAGAAGGGTTATCTGTTTTTTACGAGCAAACGAATGAAGTGTGCATGGGACGCTGCTGACTGAAGTGTCTTCTTGAATAGTACACAAAAAGTCATGAAAGTATCAATCCGTTGGCTATCACGCCGTTGGGACCGTACCCTGATGTCGAAGAGGGGTATGAAGAGGATTGGAGTAAACTAAAGCCAGGACGAGTTGTGCATCTGAGAGTGCTGGAGGCGCAGAGTAAGCTCTAATGGAGCAGTGCGAAGTGAAATCGATCTTGTCTATCCATAGAAGAACATCAAGCTAAACTTCAAGGAAAAAAAAAATGAAAAATAACAAATGGCGCAAGTGATCAAGTCAAAGATATCATTCCGATCTAAGTTTTTTGGGTCATTCCCATGCCCTAATTCCATAATGTACATATCGCGCAACGCCAGTGGGTGATATGGCTTGAAAAAAGCGCTACAACAAAGAACCTTTCCTTTCCACCGTAGCCNAATCCATCTACTGCGTCTTTTTGGTGCTCTTCTCAGTAGGTGCGCTGTACAGCCAGACGGCTACGAATGCGAGCCATCCGAGAACGGTGACCCAGATACCTCCAATCCAAACCCAAGCACCGCTAATCTCATAACTCCTTGGGTACTCGTCGTGAGCAAAGTGCCTGACGGTGACCTGCCTCTTCTCGTCGATGTTGGTGACGAATGGGCGACGGTAGTTGACACGGAAGTTGAAGATACCGTGCTGGTCAGGTGTCTTGAATCCCGTGCCGAAGATGGTGGCATTCTCGGTCTTCGCAATTGGAGACAGATTAAGACGGTGGAAAGGCGAGAGCATGCTGAACTCAAGCTGAACGTTGTCATTTGAAGCAGGGACAAAAGGTTCAAGGTGGTCCATGTTGTACTCCGAGATTTCGACTTGGAAGTGCTGTTATCCAGTTAGCATTACACCATAGAAATAGACATACAAGTCACTCACGACATCCGTCTTGATGCGGTAGATGCTGGGATTGCTCTCTGGAATGGCAGTGCTGGTGTTCAGTTTCTTGCTGGCACCCTCATCCTGGTAGTGTAGGAGCTTTCCAACCTTGAGTACACCAGTCTCCTTGAAAGCCCAGGCTGACACCTTCTGAGCGAACTCACGGTTTCCCGTGGTGATGGAGTTGTCGCCCAGCTTCGCCTTCTCAGCGAACCACTTGTTTTGGAGCATTTCAGCAGAACCAACAACAACCAGGCGCGCCGCGTTGTTTGCCTGCATGGCAGATACCAAGTTCAGCTGACCACCCACCGCGAAGGGATCTTCGGAACTCTCAGCTTCATCCTTGGGGTTGTAGCTGTATGCAGTACTGGGGGCACGAAGAATGGGCGAAGTGAGAGGAGACTCGTTTCCAAGAGCCTGACCGACGGCGCGCGGAACCGCAATGTATCCCTCGCCAGCAAAGTAGTTCTTGACATCGGGCCTGAGAGCACCTGGGAATGGAAGAAGAAGAACATCGTGCGCCTCATCTGCCGATAGCGAATCGTAATTGAAGTGGTCAACAACCAATGCGCCCTTGTCGTTAGGTACGCTGATGTCGACTTCGAGTAGCATTGCCTGAACGGCCGTGGGAGTAGGGTATTCGCTTGAGAGGGCAACAAGGACGTTTCCATTGTTCTTCATGAATTCGAGGAAGTTGTTCGCAGTGAGGGCAGGGCCGAGGCCTTTCGACTTGCCCGGCAGGAGGAGAACATGGTCGTATGCTCGTTCGCCGTGCTTGAGTAATGCGAGAGTGGTATCCTTTGGTGACCCGACGGTTGTAGTGAATCCTCGGGCTGTATGTTTGTGTCAGCGTCGTTACATGCGACAATGTTGTTCGAGTGAGCATTCGTGAGTGGCATGAGGCCAAGTTGCAAGTTCAACCACTTTGCAATTCGACAACAAGGCGTGAACCAATCCAATTCTCAAGTTCTGGGATAAATGCACATGGCCTGCCAAGCTGCAATTGACAGAATGAATCAACTTACATGTCAAGTCCTCGAGAAACACGCTGTACTTCTCCCGCTCGGCCTGGTCTTCGAGCACAACCAGCAACCGGCTGCCAGTAAAACTCTTGGCCTGGGCCACCAGCGACCAGACAAAGGCGAGGGTAAAAGAAAGTAACCACCTCATCTTGTGGTTGTGTGCAAGTTTGAACCTGACGAAATGCGCGGCCGCGTAGAGAGCTGCCATGGGAGATACGTATGCATTTGCCAAGCCCTATCGGCCCCGGAAAATCGCTGCGCGCCGATTGGAGGAGCGCGGAGGAGCGACGAGCTTACCCAGCAGCTAACCTCACGACATAGTCGACTTGCAATTGCGACGCCAGATTAAGGCATTGGGCCCCTTTGCGAATTGCGCCTCGATTTTCTCGCTTCACGATAGTAAAGTTGGTACGCGCGCGCATCGCTGCTACGCTCCAAAACCTCGCCTGGGCTCACACATACGCAGCATCTCAGCGAACATGTCCGGCGTCCCTCCCTCCCCGCTCTTCTTCCGCCAGCCGCTGCGGTACATGAAATGGGCTGCGTACAACAAGCCGGCTTACTTTTACTCGATCGTCATCGGCCTTGCTGGTCCCATAATGCTGGTTACCGTCCCTCCGATTCGGAGATACATGGGCGAAGAGCCCATTCAGAGGATTCCCTTGACATACCCAGGTACGTGACAACAAAGGAGGAAGAGCAGACACAGAGGAAAAGACGGTTTTCTTTACCTTTTTTTGATGCGAGAGTGGCACGCTGATTTATTGCAGTACCAAAGGGACCACGGCCAAGGCCAGCGGGATTCGATGATGAGTAGGGATTGTTAGAAGAGATAGGAGTGGAAAGCCAAGATAGTTCCATTAGGCGCTCGCACAAGGCTTCAAAAGAGGGCGTGTGAGCAATTGTAGGACGCAGAAGCATGGTATTTGGGTCGTAGATGCGGCAGCATACTGTATAAATCACTTTTTCTTTCCGTCAGCATACCCACGCAAAAGCATACATGATGTCCGGCAAGCTTTTTTTTGTTTTCAAATCATGATATGTGCACAGACGAAATACTCCAGAGCTTCGGTAAAGTTCAATATCTCATTGTAGAAGCGGTATTGTTTGTGCCCAGTAATACCCGCACCAACGCCAACCCAATTAAAGCTACCTAGGACTGTCGAAGATGAATGCCATCGACAACGCCTATCCATTACGCTATGTGCCAAGTACACGTAGAAATCATCATTGATTTAGCAAGACGATTGTGGAACCAGGAGAACTAGAAAGAACAAATGAAATGAGTAAATCCAACTTCCAGGAAGGAAACGTGATCTTGACTTGATGTTAGTGCAGAAAGCACCATGAGATGATTCCCTGTTTTTCACCGTAACTATTCCCAAGGCTGTTTCTTAGACTAAACGTCTAATGCCCGTTCTACCCCCTTACTTTGACGGTGTAGTAGTGACTTGTGTTAGCTCAGCACCGCCAACCCCACCCTGATTTACAATAGACCTCCTGTTCAAAAAACAAATCTTCCTGGTGGGTTGCACAACCCTAGCATCTTTGGCGGCGTTGAAGCAGTAACCTGGATGGCAGAGGTTCAGAAGTAAGACGGATCCAACAATGACTGTGCCTTCCAGACCAATGAAGTACTTTTGGGTCGTGGCTAGCTCACCTCTCCAGCCCTGACACAGCTCGGCAACCCGGAACACGCATCTTATGAAGATGCAAAGGGTGGATAAGGCCAAGGCAATGATGAAAGCCTTGAATGGCCGTGATACCAGGGGCCGTACTTCGCGCCCATTTTGAGCAGTTCGTGGAAGCAGTTTACGGTTGCGGAATGTTCGCAAGGCGAAGTCGACAGCTATCAGTATGAAGACAAACATTGTTGCAACCTGGAAAGCTAGACCGGTAATCATGACGTTGTCGCCCTTCTTGGTACTCTCATCGTTGTGTATAGCAACACTGGCCATGCCTCCCCCAACAGCCTGAAGCACGAGGGAGATGATGTCGCAGGGGATGAAAATCTTTGGATAAGAGAGTGGCTTGATGCGGGAATATTCGGGGCCGATAGTGGTGACAATGCGCGAGAGGCAAAGATAGATGCCGGCAGCAAGGAAGGCGGGACCGATGGTTAGGCAGATGATTTGGATGAGGAAAGGGGTCTGAGTGTTGTCAGTCATCAGTGTCTTGTTGATGAGCTTGGAGAAGACAGTTGGTCGTCTATGGTCAATACATACCTCTGCAAACATGTCTTGCTGGGCTAGTATGCGTCCCGCGTAGCCAGCGACTTCGAGCGCGCAACCAACGGCCATGGCAAGACTGAAGCCAAGCCATTTTGCATCTGCAGTGCCTTGGACAGCGAAGGTGATGAAGGATATACTGAAGAGCACAAGGAAAGCTCCGTTGATGATGAGAGAGGGCTCGTACATCCAGAAAGCCTCATGTATTGGGCAGTTGTCGGAAGGATGGTAGCAGAGAGTACCGTCATATCCTATCAAAGGCATGGTGGGCAGCGTTGCTGATTCGCAGTCGTCCTGGGATTAGAAGTGAGGTCAAGGCAGAGGAATTTGTAGGCTGTGTGTATCGAATGAGATTATATTAGGAAGGTGGGAAAGTAACTAAGGGTGACGGTGACCCGAATCATGGATTGTTGAGTCCCTGTTGAGCCAGAGAGTGCAATGCGAGCGAAACATAGAGCGGGGTTTGGAATGAGATGGAATTTCACATAAGTGGGAGTAAAACGAAGGGTATCATTGTTCAGTCGGAGATGCGCACATGGACTGCAAGATGAGATACATACATGAAGAGACGCGAGGAGAAGTATTCTCCCAGTGAAAACAGGCATATTGGTGAGAGGTCGCTCGGCACTGTGAAGATGAAAGCGAGGGATGAAGCGATCACGTGGGGGACGTTACTCTGGTACTTTGACCCAAAGGTGCTTATCTCCTCTGGACGGATGAGGATTACTATGATTTGATTTGTCGGTGCACATGTGCTTCGGGTCTGGGGCGCGACTAGATTTACCTCATCCATTGGCGCAGCATGGCGTCTTGCAGCTACGCATATTTAGAGTCACGAGACTTGCGCGCTTGTTGTTGTTCTTGTTGTTTAGAGAATAGCGTAGTATTTTGTACACATGGCTGTGCAATAATCTTCACCTTCATATAGATGAGTGGAAACGGAAGAGATTCTTTCGTCTTTACACCAGTGCTTGGAGTAGACCTCAGCAGAAAGCCCAGCAGCATAGACGCAGGTGTTTGTGAGCTTCGTCGTACTCTGATATTGCGACCAAAGATAGTCTGTAATGGTGCTTACAGAGCAACAAGGGTGTCTGTGCATTAATCGCCAGCTGAATGCTGACGGTATTGTTCGCAGGCAATCGTGGATAGAAGTTAGGATATATTGCTGTGTGGGTGGAAGCATCGAGTGGATGCCCGGCTGCTTGTTGGCTGAGTATGAAGTTAGGCATGAAGTCTGTTGATGACGTAGGCGGCCGGCCGGTAATCGATACGCAAGGCTTATCCCCGTGCATAACGCCCGCCCGAGCCGCCAGGTGCTGGCCGTCCACAGACACAGGCTTTCACCGTAGTGTGTGGCTAAGCGCTGTGCCTGGCGAGCTTTGTTCGGCATACGAGTAAGGGGGGATAACCATGCTTTTGGGATGTACCTGTGGGGTCCCCAGCCGCCAGCAATGCAGGTACAAGCGGGATGCCGGACGAGACAGAGCCGATCATCACGCACATGACAGTCAGCAGTGACATGCCAGTCCCCAGACGAGGGAACCACGTCTGCACTGGAGAACCGACTCTTTGCAGAGGCGAGGCAGGGTTTGATGCGCTCCATCAAGAAAGTACACACAGGACATGGACCGAGAGACATAGCTCGAGGGCCGTGGGCACCCTTCAGGCCGCAACCTGGGTGGCTGGTCCCAGCTCCGACGGTGGGCAGGGCGACTAAGTATTCGGTCGCCATGTGTCAAGACGAAGATGACTGCGTCGAGTGGACGCGGAGCTCGCGGCAGGCTGGACAGCTGAGCACGTCGAGAGGCCAGGCATAGGAGGAGGATGAGGCGGTAAAGACATGTACGAGTATCTGCACATGGACATGTAGTAGAGGGCGAGCAGCATGGGGGGTTGTCATTTGCTGGACGGGCCCAGGAGCAATTACCAATCCACTGCGGGCTCTAGCGCCACCAGCACGGTCGTTGCGAGATGGTATGCAAGCCGACGTCGACATGGCCCGCCGGAGCGTGGCCCTGTCGTCTTCACCATCTTCGAATCCGCTCCGTATTTCTGCCCTCTCGACATTGCCCATCTTCGGCCTGCTAGGCCAGCACTCCATCGTAGACGCTAGTACTGTCCCTGCTTTGGCGAGCTCCAAGGCCACACCACAGCGCCCAAAGTGCCTCAACTGGCCAGCCTTGGCGCCCGCCAACCCAATACCACGTCTTCGGCATTGACGCCTCCATCGCCGCTGTCACTCGTCCCGACCACCCAGGAGCCTGTCCCGGGTCCTTCCAGTCTCTTGGACGTTGGCCTTGTCCCACGCCCCCTGCTAGCACTACCATCCTGTCAGTCGCCATGCCATCGGAAATAATAGAGGGGCTCTCCGCTGACTAGCCACCAGTACTGTCCCTCACACAAACCACCCCTCGAAAAAGGTGCGTCAACAGCTCCCCACACGCCAACACCGCCTCTTGCCACGATTCCCAGTCAAGAGAGCCTGCTGCGACCATCTGCGCATACGCCGGGACATTCATCTCCGATCGAGTGCTGACCTGGGCACGCCAGACACGGACGAAGGCAGTTTTGGACATAGCTGGACTTTTTCTCAGGCACGACACGACACCCGCCACACCGTCTCGGTGATTGGGCATACGAGCAAGCATCGCCAGCATGGCAGCGGCGACTGCGGGTAAGTACTGGCTGTAGGGCCTCACGGGCTACCCACCAAGCTCTCCGCCCATTTCCCTGTCGCACTACACCACCTGTACTTGTATCTTTTGCATACGCCTACCTTTTGTTCGCTCGCTCGCATATCTGACACGACTTGTTCGCTCCGCAGGCTACGACTGGAACCGCTCATCGCCGCTGCGCTCTTCGCCTGACACCTCGTCTTCCATGTACCCCGACCGGCCCATTCGCCCTCTGCCCAGCCGCTCTCTCCGCGCCCGCTTGTCGCCTGAGCAGGCCGAAACAATCGTGTACCCGCACAATCCACCTCCCACCGGCCCGCTCTTCAACTTCCCATACATGGCGGATGAGCGAGTGCGTCCTCACAGGACTGGGACCAACGACCACCACGCCTGTCACTGTGGACACACTCACTCCGAGGTAGAGAGTGACGATGAAGAGGACGAACGCAACGGACCCATGCCTGCATCTCCAAGCTACCAGTACAGCAGACACGCATCTGGAAAGCCTGCAGCCGGTATCGCGGGTGGCCATCGCAAGCCAGGTTCGCCAACATCTTCAGTGGACGGTTATGAGTCGTTTGAGAACACCAATAACAAGAAGAAGCGCAAGATTCCAAACATGGGTAGCAATGGTGCACACCACCCGAGTCTTTCGGCGGATCTGGCTGCCACAGCCGTAGCACACGTTCAAGATGCAGGGCCAGTCGACGATGGGGAGGGAGATGGCGCCGCGCGCTACTATGGCTCCGCGCCATCTACACCCCAACATAATATGGCTTCTGGAACAGGCATCTCCGGTGCAGGCAGAGGGCGTTTTGGACGCTCTGGCTCGGGTCGGTCAGACAGACGTGTCTTGGCCACGTCCAGCACCCTCGCCAACGCCAAAGCGAACAGCAAACGTACGGTGCCACCTCGGGAACTCACTCATCTTCCCTTTTTTGAAAAAAAGAGTCCGTGCACTGACTATTTGTTTTCTAGGTCCTCCGGAGCAAAGCGGCATCATTTCAACAGCCATTGCGAACGCTGCAGCAACCCCGCCACCCCATGGCAACGAGAACGTGAGCCTATTGCAGCAGGAGGCCGCCAAGAGCAGTGCAAACAAAACCCAATTCACCTTCACTTGTGGGTCTGACTCAGCAAACAAAATGGTCTGGCCAGGCCAGGAAAACGGCCAATACTCTCAACCTCCAAGTGCCTACCCAAGCACGGCCGCATCCCAAGCTCACCCCCAGGCCGTTCGCGCCCGCCCTCCTGTCCGCTCCGACGCTCCAATGGTGTCTACACAGGGCACCCAGACGAGTCCGAACATGAATGAGTCAGGTACATATCCTCCCCCTCCCCCGCCCAATGGCACTGCACGTCGCTCTACGGGTCCCCCGCCGCCACAACAAGCTCCACCGCCGCGAAAGCCTCGACGCAGCGCTTCGAAGCTGTATGAGTATGCTGCCCGCAAACGCCGCATTCAGCAAGAGTACGCCAACTTCCACAACCCACCTAGTCAGCCGTGGATTTGCGAGTTCTGTGAATATGAAGACATTTTCGGCCATCCTCCCATGGCCCTGATTCGGCAGTATGAAATCAAGGATAGGAAGGAACGTAAACGTTTGGCGGAAAAGCGTCGTCTGTTGGAGAAGGCTAGGATGAAGGGACGCAAGGGCAAGAAGGCAAGCAAGAAGGCACAGAACAATGCCAATAATGCTCAGCACAACCAGAACCCTCCTCCAGGTGCTTACGACCGACGCGACGATGAAGGTTCCCTCGACGCACAGGACGAGTATTACGACGATGACTATGACGAACCCGTTGCGACCTGTCCCCACGGCTGTCCTCATCACTCGCACCCTACCCATCCGCCTGCGCAAAAGGTGCCCGGATTGCCTCCCGGAGACCCCCATGCAGGGGGGCCGCCTGTGACCAATGGCGCCTAACAAGTGGACGAGATGGGGTGGGCCGTCTGCGTTCTTGCATTATGTCTTGCGTTTCTGTCTTTTCGCGTTGCCTTCATGGTTGGGGTTGTCGCAGCAGTGGGTCGAATATCAAAGCGTGGGCTGAAGACAATCTTTGAGGTGAGGCGAGGCTGACCACACGCGGCCTCATCCACTCCTATCAATTCCCACTTCAAGACCACCATCGGCCTTTACTCGGACGACCCCATCGTGTCGGCACGTTGTCTTCCCTTTTGTGTTTTTTTTCTAGCGTTCTAGCACTGTTTCTAGCATTTCCCCGGGAGCCCCTGCACACTCAGTCGTTTCCGACTCTGCATCATACGATTACGACCGATTCCCCCAAACCACCCATTCGGAACCCTACATACGATACATGACATGTCATAACACCACATATCATACCACAACATACCATACAACCCCACTCTAAAACAAACACACCCACACAAAAACTGGAGCCGCGAGACGGGAGACGGACTGTACAATAGCTTTGGCTAGTCTCGTAGGCATTGTAGAAAGAAGGAAGGATTAGAGCAACATGTGTGGCCCTTTTTGAAGCTTCGACTAAAGTCTTCGGCTACTTGCATCTTTGTTTTGCTCTCGGCCGCTTGATGGGACTCGCGTGCTGTGTTGGCTTGCACCAGGAGGCTCTAATAGCGTCATTAGTATGCATACACGCATGCAGCATGTACTCAGAGAGCAGTCAGTAGATAGAAATAAGATTTGTGAAAACCACTTATGCGTCTCGTGTCCTTGTATTGATGATAGCTTTTGTCTCAAGCTAATATGTAAACTTTTGTATTCAACTCCTCTCCTAGAATGAAAGCTCGAAAACAACAACAACAAACATGTACGCAAGGAAGGAAACAAGTCTTATTCGTTACATCTTCTACATCATCATCATCATTCGAGAATACCATGCTATCATACCGCTCCACTCTACATCCTCTCCACAGGACTCAGACCCAAAACCCTCATACCATTGTACAGGACCTGCCTGGCCGCAACGTACAGCGCCAGCCTAGCAATCAGCACGTTCCTCTCTGAGCCTACAACCTGCAGATGGTCGTAGCTGCTGCTCAGCGCATGCGCCATCTTGAACAAGTAGGTAAGCACGGTTGTGGGCTCCTGTGTCTTGAGCGTGTTGAGGAAGGTATCGGGCCAGCTGGCTAGCTGACGGACGAGCTCGACGGCCTTGTCTTCCTGGAGCAGACTCAGGTCGGCCGCGGTGGCGAGATCAAGGTCTGCGAGCGAAGGATCGGATTCGACTGCTTTGCGGTAGATGGAGCAGAGGCGGGCGTGGGCGTATTGCAGGTAGGGACCTGTGTCGCCTTCAAAGGAGGTCATGCGGTCCATGTCGAAGGTATAGTTGTTGATGCGCTTGCCCTTCATGTCTTGGACCATGACGGCGGAGATGCCGAGTGTGTCGGCTGTTTGCTCGGGGTCCTTGACTTGGGCGTATTTGGTCTCGTTGGTGCGCATGACTTCGTGCATCTTCTCGCCTACGTCACGGAGGATGTCGTCGAGGAATTTGGCGGTGCCTTTTCGGGTTGACATGCCTGTAGTGACTCTGTTAGTATTGAGTTGGTAGTTAAAGCGAGAGGGCGAGGACGAACCCAAAACCATGCCGAAGTTGATGTGTTGACACCTGTCAGAGATGTCTTTCCTGCCCATAAGCTCCTCGATCTTGAACAGCTGGGCCAAGTGGAGGTCTTGTTGCGATGCAACAACGTAGATCATTTTGCTGTGACAAACATTAGCATCTTTTCCTTTGTTCATTGAAAGAAGTCATAGCACATACTCGAAGTGGTACTTCTCGTCACGCTCAATGGCCGCGCCAATGTCACGCGTCAGGTATAGCGAGGTGCCATCCTTCTTCTTGACGACCGCCTTGCCTAGCTTCTTGGAATGTGGTGTGAGGTCTACAATGACTGCACCTTCTGAGTCCTCGCAGACCTTCTTCTCCCACATGGTCTTGGCAGCAAGCTCCATGCTCTCATCTTTGACTTGTGATTCTCCACTGTAATCGTCATAGTGAATGTTCAACCGGGCATAGGTCTGCTTGTACTTCTCGATGGAAAGGTCCTGTACAAGTCAGTATATGGTACAACATCGACTGTAGCAAGATCACTCACCCTGAATCGCTTCCAGATGCCAAGAGCCTTGGGTTCGCCATCTACCATGCCCTTGAAGTACTTCCTAGCCTGCTCGTCGATACCCTCCTCCTCAATCTTCTTGATCTGCTTCTCCTGCTCTGATGCATCCTTGCCCTCCTCCTTCAGCTTCGCAACCTCAGCCTTGAGAGCCTTGACCTGCTCGGCCTCGTTGTGTTGTACATTGCTGACCTTGACGTAAATGTCGTACAGGTGGCCAATAGGGTTCTTAACAAGCTCCTCCTCGTTTCCGTAAAGATCAAAGCCAATAGCCAAGACACCGTATTGCTTTCCCCAGTCTCCGAGGTAGTTCATGCGAACAACATCCCATCCAGCGCCCTCGTACAAATTGGCGAGGAATCCACCAATGATTGTGCTTCGCAGGTGACCAGCGTGGAATGGCTTCGCAATGTTGGGCGAACTGAACTCGACAATCATCTTCTTGGGGCCAGAAGAAGGATCGGAGGGGTCCTTGAGACCGAGGTTCTTGTTGAATCCGTAGCTCTCCTTGGACTTGAGAATCATAGGCAGAACAAGCGAAGTGAGGGTTTCGGGCTTGAAGAAGAAGCCAATCGATGTGTTGGTGACGATTGGCTTCTTGACCAGCGGCGACTCTGGGAAGGCGTCTGCAAGCTCCTGTGCGAATGCCTTCATGTCCTTCTTCTTCTGGCGGAGCGCGGGGACGGCCAATTGCAGATCGCCATGCTCAGGCTTGGCTGTCCATGCCAATGTAGGGTATATTATTTTCTTGTCTACGCCGGAGACGGAGGAGAGCAACTCGGTGATGTGACTCCTGTATATATCGAAAGGGTTGAGGGCGGGATATGTGTTGGGCTCTTGCGGTACCTTCTCAAGGCCGAGCTTGGAAAGGGTGGTTGTGAGTTCATCCATGGTGTATGTTGAGCGCGCCGACGCGTGGAGAGTTCGTAAAGGCTCAAAGGAAGTCAAGCCAATCTGGGAGTATTGCCGAAGCGACTGGAGGGTTACTACTGCTCGCGTGCGGTCGCAATCGTATGGACTGGGTCTTGGATGTGGCTTTGGTACAGATTGCCCACGCAGTTGTAGTGGCTGAGATGAGAGTGTGTGCAGGCTAGAGACACGCGGGGGACTAAGCCTAGGGCTGGCGTGTGGCAAGAATCTCTGAGTCAAAGGAGACGAGCAAGTCAGCGGCGGTCTCTTTAAATGAGTGGTAGAAAAATTCAAAAGTCTGGCGCGACAAATATTCGCAAGGCTTTGCTGCATCCCAAATGTGGGGTAGCTGCGATGCGTCAATGGCCCGCGACAGTTGCGCAGTCAGAACGCGCTAGTACTAAAATTTTGGAGGGGCAACTACAAGGCGGCTAGTCCGGATTAAGGCGAGAAGCGGGCGAAGCACCATCCCTGTACGCTGGCCTTGGTAGTGTACATATATTATTTTGGGATGAGCACGAACCAATCCAAGATAAACATGGCATGGTTGCCTGAACGGTGTCGCTACGCTGCGCATCCTCCTTGGTGGCTTGATGTAGTACTTAGCCGCCATGTGGCCTGCCCATTCCACCAACACTCAATTCACACCAACTTAAATCATGCGAGGCGTTACGTCAACGACTTTGGGTGCCTCCAAAGACCGTTCCACTAAACATGGCTCCCGCTGGACGTACGGATTGCGCCTCCAAGTATGGAAGACTAGTGTTTTCGTTTTTGCAATCTGCGCTTCCTCCGTCTTCTCCATCAATCTGGCCTTCACCATCTGGAGCTTGGCCACTTGGCACACAAACATGGGAAACTTGTATGAAGGAGATTGTGGCCGTGTAAAGGTACTCAACTCTGCTGTGCACGTGCTGATCAACATTCTGAGCACGATCCTGTTCACGGCAAGCAACTACTGTATGCAGTGCCTGTCTGCGCCGACTAGATCTGCAGTGGACAAGGCACACATGCAGAGTGAATGGCTTGATATTGGCATCTCAAGCATGCGCAACCTGAAGCACATCAAGCGGCAAGATCTGATCCTTTGGCTGCTTCTCGCAATCACGTCACTTCCTCTCCACTTACTGTACGTTTTTGCATCGATTGAAGCAACTTTCACTGGCACTGATACTAAACAGCTACAACTCAGCCGTCTATGCGTCGATATCATCCAATAGCTATTTTGCCTTCTCAGTAAGCGAATCTTTCGTAAACAGTGCCGAGTGTATCAATTGTGCGACGCAGCCCAACCTCTACACGAACTTGACAAACGATTCTATCTTCAAAGGATATCCCAATGGCGAATTTCCAGAAATCTTGCATAGTCTGTGGTCTCGCGCGCAAAACGGCTCCCTGGCCAGGCTCGAGCCTGCTGAATGCATCGATGAGTACGCTACCGCGATTCAGTCATTCAGACGGAATGTACTTTTGGTTGCTCGCGACGAGGACATGCCACCTCAGCACGAGAACACCTTCATCAACGATTCCTATGTTTACGATGCTGTCGCATTCGCGTCCATCTACGCAAAGAATCCAGAACAGTCTGCAGATGCTTATCGATGGATATGCTCAGGCCTACCTCCTAAAGAAAACAACGACCATTGCACAGACCGGATATCAGAAATTCGGTCGAACACGTCTGCATGGAGAGTCGGTGGGGACGGCTGCTACTCAGTCCAAGATGCCAGCAACCCGCACATATGGACGAGTGGATGCTCGGATTTTTCAGACACCAAGAAATACCCCGTATCTTTTTGCCTGAGCGAAACAGCACCGTCACGCTGCAAGGTCCGATTCAACTCCACCATCTTGGTGATTGTCACTGTCGTCAACTTCCTAAAAGCTATCCTGATGTTTTACATCGTCTTCAAGCCGTTCGATCAGCCGCTCCTTACCATGGGAGACGCAGTGGCATCATTCCTAGACGATCCAGACCCAAGCACTCGTGATATGTGCTTGTTGTCCATACGTGATACCAGGCATGGCCATTTTCGCGCTGGTGTCAGGCGTTGGTTGACGCCGAAGGCATCATGGATGGATGCGATGAGTAAGACCCGTCGCACCATAACCATTACGATGTACGCCGCTGCTATAGCAGTGTCTTTATATCTGCTATGGTTCAGCATACATAAATTACCGAAAGCTACATCTGTTTCGCCTGCTGGCCTTGCCAGCCTCGGCTTCGGCGCCGTGGACCCACGCACCATGATCATCGGCGGTCTGGGAAACACAAATCTGATTGCGAACACTCTAATCGCAAACACCCCACAGCTCATCATTTCTTTCCTGAACTACTTTTACAACGCCCATTTCACAGCCATGCTCCTGGGCTACGAGTGGATCTCCTACGCACTCAAACGCAAAGGTCTTCGCGTATCGCAATCTCCACAAGGCAAGCAGCGGTCCACCTACTTTTTACAGTTGCCGTACAGAGTTAGTGTGCCGTTGATGATCATGGGCGGTACGCTGCACTGGCTCGTTTCACAGAGTATTTTTCTCGTCTCAATCGACCTCTACGACTACATGGACAACCGCAGCGCAGCAGGGCAGCAGTGGCTCAAGGACGAGGCGTATGACCCCAGAGACGAGTTGATGAGCATCACAACTTGTGGATATTCGCCCCTTGCCATTATCTGTGTCATCGTGTTCGGTTCGCTCATGTTCATCGCATTGTTGGCAGTGGGCTTTGTACCGTACAAGCGTGTTATGCCACTTGCAAGCAGTTGCAGCATGGCCATTAGTGCGGCATGTCATCCTGAAAGCGAGACCAGAGTCTCAACGCACGAGGTACAATGGGGGGTCTTGAAAGCTAGTGATAACCCCGACGATGTTGGGCATTGTTCTTTCTCTAAAGGTCCAGTTAGTCAACCTGTGGTTGGACATCTTTACATCTGAAATATACTGTAGAAGCTTAGAGCTATGTCCTAGAATTAGTTTTATTAATCATAAATTACAACATGCAAAGGCGAAACTAGTACGCCGCCACACAGGGTTTTCCGCCATACGTGGAGAGATTAGTACGCCCCCTCTCTCTCTCTTTCTCTCATATGGACAGAATGAAACGCTACGTCACGTGCCTCTTCATCGACATCTAACCCCCCCCCCAATCTCGCTTGAAACCGCGTGAAACCCACTCGGCCTACTAATCGACCGCCTCCCCCCACCTCCAAGGTTTCTACTGCATTCGACGCCCTGCATTGACAAAAAAAAAGGGTGCCACCGCATCGTTCCCCTCACATGAGGACAATCGTTTATCAGCACGTCTCGCGCAATCGAGGGTGTGGAGCGGCTCTCTTTTGGTAACCACTTCCAGATTCTGACGTGCGCATCAACGGAACAGCATCATCGTATGTCTCAAACTAGCATCCAATACATGTTCGTCCCGCCCGGCGACGGCGGCACAGCATGTGGGGAGCTGGGCTGGGCTTCCGATCGCATAACAGGCACACACACCCCACCCCACCCTCCCGCCCGTCGTGTCAGGTGCAAAGAATGGGGTGGGTTGGTGGGTTGTAAGTGTGACGGCATCTTTTCCATGTACATGTTGATTTGATTGGGCTTCTTTCCGAATCATGTTCTATTCTTGTTTCTTTTTGCGCCATCTTTGCTAGGAAGACGGGGTTCGTGTTTTTTTCTCTCTGTAATTTTTTGGCGGGTGGCCCATGTATGTTGAAGCATTTCGTGGGTAGGTTCTATAGAGGGGTGTGGTAGGCTCCAACCAACTCCAACCAAGTTGCTTTCTTGAAACGGGGACGATGTCAGCATCTGGTGGTTTGAAGTGATGTTACCTGCTGAAATGTAGCACTCTGGTTCACCTATTTATCAGTACTGGAAGGTATGTGGCTGCATTCGGCATCGGTGGTTGAGCTCTGTGAGTGCGCTACATTCAAGAGTAGTCATTACCCACGACGTAAGATGGGCAAGTAGACCTGAATCCTCAGCAGGAGCATATGTCTAACACACAACTGTTATATTTTGATGTTATTGGAAGCCTGAATAGCGAAACCTCTGGGACGCATATCGCGTTCCTGTCAAACAAGGTAGTCACCTGCGTTCTTATGATTTTCCACCCTATTCCTTATCCAAGATATAGCGCTTACTGTAGCAGAGCTGACAGGAGGTGCTCTGCGTAAGCGGCAGCGAACCTACTACAAGCAAGTCCTTAGGAGGCAGCGGTCTTCATAGAATCAGAAGTCAGAGCTTCATAGCCGTCTAACTGTCTGATGTCACTCAGTATCGCGCTATGCATTCACGGTCATGGGGGTGCGTGGTCGTAGTACAGCGCGATCTTTTGCAAAACGTGATACCCAAACGCCTTCATAAGCCTCCCAATAGTCATACTCGTCCCCTGACGTGCGTAGCATGCCTCACGGCGTCCGTGGTCTGCCCCTATTTCATAATTACCATATGGGGTTGTCAGGTCGCTCCGTCTGTAAATAGAATTGCTTCCAATCCCCAATTGGAAGCTTTGTATTAGGAGTATCGTTCGAGATGATTTGTCAGAACGGCAACAAGGCTGGTCGGTGTACGCGCTGAGAAGAAACGTAGGCCGAGCCTACGTTAGATCATGGCAGTGAATCTAGCGCTCTAGTTACCAGAAGATGCCAGATTCGAGTGTATATTGTCCATATCTGAGGTTGCTCGTTGCTACAAGGAGTATCCCCATAGTCCTCACAAGGCACTAATGATTGCCTGTGACTGTAGATTAGACTGGTGCAACTGAACAGCTCATTGGCACGATTTAACTCGAGCTTGCCCACGTTGGAGGATTCCAGAATTGGGATCAGCGCCTTTCCGGTTTACAGTTGTTCCTGTTTTGCATTTGTACATAAGAAAGCACCCGGCTAAACACGATACAAACAAGGGCAGCTGAAAACCGATGGCCGGCATCTTTGCCACTCTAGTGGTATGGGGATTGTTGCAGTACCCTGGCAGATTTACAGGGTCCTGGTTGTATGCGAAAGAGAAGCCGCTTGTGCAACGTTGTACAAACGATCAGCTTCTGCGATCAATCACGTCCTCAGACACCTTTGCATGCCGAAACCATGATTCCGTCTGGAAAGGTACCGAGTTCACTCCCGATTCCATGGTCAAACAGATGATCATGTATCTAGACAGTCATGACTAGAGTAAAGGCCAAGACACGAGAGTGCTGAAATCCATGAATACATGAACCACGGAGGAGTGCATTGTACTGAGACCTTGTCGTCACTTACGATTCACTGTAGGCACTTGAGGAGTAGCTGTCATAGCCCACGTCATAGCAAAGGCAAATCGAAGCAAAAGGGATGCAGGCGTCTCAAGAGGGGCTGACTAGAGCGGAACCTCTCGGAACCTCGGCGCGGTTTGGATCCAACGACCATATAAGAATTGAGCTCACTCGTCTGGTCCCGGTCGTTGCGGTCCACCTTCATAAAAGCATCACCGCCATTTCCCGCGTGGAACGTGTAGTACTTGTCCAAGGAAATGAGGGTAGTACAGGCCAGGGCTATCCTTGCCATCTGCACCTACCCGTAAACATGGGTTCCTGTCGAGCAGGCCATATGCAGAAATTCGAAGATGGCATGGTGCATGTCTTCTAGATGGCCTCACTGATAAGTCGTCATACTAGATTGAGTTTGCATAGTTTGTTGAATGCAGGAGACCCGAGCAATGATTGTGGCAAACTGAACAAGAAGGTGGGCCGGCAATGATGGCCTATTCGGAAGTTGCACAAGCTGGCGACATGTTGATTGGCCAAAGAGACATGGCATTCATCAGCATTCATGAAGAGCATTTGTCGAGTTTAATGCCAGTCGGCCGCGCGTAACAAGACACACAAAGGCGTACAGAGGAGGCTGCTGCAGAATCGCATATGGGGTTTATACCACGAGCTGAGTTTGTTCCGGCTGGTTTAAGAGATTGAGTCAAAAATGCCATGTACTTAGCAGCTGCACGTAGCCGTTAGTCAAGCTAGGATCGGCTCGCGAACAGCACCATTGCTAGCTTGTGAGTTAGGTGGCGGGATGATGGGAACGGGTCGGTGGGAGCAGGTAAAGGCGGGTTGGCCGTGATTGGCAGTGACTCTGGCAGGGCGCCAGTGAGGCGCGGAGACCAAAGGTATTTGTGCACTTTTGATGCGAATGGGCTTCTGTTCCTGTCACTGCTGGCTACGGGGTCGGGAGGGTGGTGGGGGGGTGTGGTACGGCCTGTTCAATCCATGGCGACGGCTCGGTGATTTATGGTCTCGCAGGCCATGCAACGGTCCCATGAAGCTGGGTCTGCGGTGGTACCCCAGATCGGCAACCGGGTAGGGTATCCGCAGGGTGATGGCGGGCTGGGGGCTGTAGAAGTCGACGCTGAGAGTGTGGGACTGGATGAGGAGCGACATGTCGATGGTAGCTGCACGAGACGGACGCGCAGCTAGCACAGGGGGCGATGGAGGCAGTGGAGGCAGTGGAGGCAGCGGAGGTAGTGGAGGCAAGGGAGGCAGGCGGCAGCACTTTCAGAATCAGGACGAGGGCAGGCAGCCAAGAGAGGCAGCTGCAGGCGACTGCAAGAGGCAAGAGCAATGGAGATGGTGGCGACGCGTGTGGTGTGTATAAAATGGGCCAAGGTACATGTTCAGCGTGGGCAGCACAGCCAGTTGGCAATCGTCGGCCTGAGGCGAGACACGGTCCCTCTCTTCGTCCTTCATCAGCGCCGGATGGGCAGATTCCGGAGTGGCCATCCTCGACTTGCTTTGACTTGTATGCAGTGGATATTGGGGTGTGATTGAGAAGGAGGGCCAAGGACAGGTATGCCGGGACACATGGGATCCTTGGGAGGCGCGGTCCTGGGCAGATGGACGGCCAGGCGCGGAGAGGATGGATGGACCGGGCTAACGAGGGCAGCAGGGCAGCACAGGACAGACACAGGGAGGCGTCTGTCGGCGGCAGGGCGTCGAGGTGTCGAGGCATCCAGGCATCCAGGCATCCAGGCCGGATACGCAAGTAGGGACGACTCGCTGCCACCGCCATCAACAGCGCAGCGGCATTGTGTAACAGGCCCAGAGCGCCAGACACACGCCAGGAAGGAACAGTCGTCTCGCGCGACACGCCAGCAGGTGAGCAGTTCATTTCGCTTCGCTGCCCCGTTCCTGCCCGGCTCCTGCCCCGTTCCTGCCTTGCTCCTGCACCGTTCCTGCCTCGCTCCTGCACCGTTCCTGCCTCGCTCCTGCACCGTTCCTGCCTCGTTCCTGCCTCGTTCCTGCCGCCCCGACTCACAATCCCGGTCGCCCACATGGCTGCCCGGGTTTCTTGTGACGCATCACATTCGTCAATTTACCTGCAACGTTCGCTGCTGCATTTCCACCCCAAGTTCCGTCCCGGCACGTCTGCCACGGCTGTCCTCTTTTGACTGCTGTCACCCTTTGCGCATGGACGCCCGCTCCCTTTCTGGCCATGCCATGGAATCGCGGGCGACAGCCGCGCGCCCCCACCGCCCTCTGCTCTCCACCAAACCAGTCCGCGCGTGGGACCCCAACCAGGGCCTGTGTGTGAGCGAGCCCCTGCACCTATCCACTTCGGCCTATATTCTTCGTCATAATGCTATCCCACCTCTTCTCACGCTCTACACCACCGCTTCACGAGATTAAAGGGCCCCAGTATTGGACTCCCTCACGCTTGACGAGCACATTGTCGTCATGGCAAAGCGTCACCACTATGCCCTCCACCACTCGGCTTGGATGACCCGGCTGACTCGTGCCTTGTCTTCATTTCCTATATCTTTACTATCAACATCGCCGAGCACCTCGTCCATGGCGTCACGCTCCATTGACATTCCTTGCCAGTCATTTCCTGCTTGAAACTGCCCTCTCAGTTTTGCTCCTTCTGTCCTTCTTGTTCTCTCATCCTGGCCCCCGGCCAACCCCCCCNCACCCCCAGACAACACCCTCTCTCCCACTACAGCAGAGCTAACGCCCGCCTGACTCAATCCCTCGATGAATCTCTACTAAGCGAAACAGCTTCGACCCTCATCAGATGCCAAGGGCCTCACGACGAGGACGAGGTAGACATCACAATTCCACCCGGGCCACCGCATCCAGGAGAGTCACGTCCAACTCGCCTTCAGCATCGCAGTCTCGAACTTCATCGGGCCACACCACTGCACACAACACGGTCAGCCAGCCGCCACTCAGACGATCTGCCCGAATCGCCGAATTGCTCAACGGACAATCAGACCGTCAATTGGCCGATACCGCATCCTCAATGGCTGACGTTGCGAGACCAAGGGCGCTTGGGGGAAGGTCCTATCGCCCAGTCCATCACCCTGGAAGTGCGCGCACTTCTGGAAATTCAAGATCAGGTCGACTTTCCCCTTCACCTGACGAAATCCGGTACGCCATGGACATTGTAGTGCAACCGCCCCGCACCGCCCAAGTCGGACAAACCATACCTGGCTCCATTATTGTCCGATTACGAACCACCAATGCTGACGCAGATGACACTATTGCAGACTCGACCAACTTTGTCGCAGTCGCCGCTCTGGTTCCTGTTTCCACTTCGTCAGACTCACCGGACCCTACCGCTCTCAATACCCTGCTCTCAGGCCGAATCTTCGACACTGTTCACCCTTTTAGCGACGACGAGGCCGATGGCTTCATCGCTTCAATGGATATGGCCGATCCAAACGGCGTGGGCTACATGCGCTTCCCTGAGCTCATCATCCGTCAAGCGGGTACATACCGCATACGCATCACCCTGATCCGCATCCGAAATTCCGCTTCAGATCCACCAGTCACGTCAGCCGGCAACGGCTTGGCGGTACATGTGGTTGATAGCAACCCTATTGTTGTCAGTGGCGGGGGATCAGCCACAAGTGCGGCTTCACACAACGGTAAGTACATGGTAACTACCTATTGATTTTCTTCAGCTTCCTGATATTCTCTCTCCACAAGCTACAGGGGGTGACGACATTGATGATGGTGGTTGGCTTGAAGTCCTACGCTCGATTCAGGATAGGCGCCGGTCACGGTAACGCCATAACTTTCGGTTTACATGTTCTTTGTTGCATTTTTTTAGTCACATGGATATAAATCTTTTGCTTGAGAAGACACATTTTCATTCCGACGGCTCTGTTGGCATACCTTTTTTTCTCCGTTTTTGCTTCATGTGGCAATGCCACGCGCTTTTTCATGATTGTAGGGGTTGTGTTGTACTGAGGTTGCCACTTGGTCGCACCTAAGTTGCACGGGATCTGCACATCCGATGCAACGCTTGTAACACGATGCTTGCTCGGCTTGCATGCATGCATTGCATTACACGTCGTTTTGTGTTGTTCATGTTTGTTATTAGTGTGTCAAGAACATGAACGCATCAATACGTTTTCCATGCTCAATAAACTTGATTCAAATAGTAGTAAAACTAGTGTCAAAGAAATGCATAGTCGAAACCAAAAGAAAAGTTGCACAACTTGTTTCCTAGTAAAGAAGCATGAATTCATAGTAGCAGATTGAAAATCCAGTAAACAACAACAACAACACCAAGAATCGAATCTTGACCAAAGACCAAAGACCCTAAACTCTTCCCCTGTGTCCAGCACATCTGCCTTCATCTTCACCCTCCCTTCACACTCCTGCCTTGCACCTTCCCCCCTCCCACACACACACACACATCGCTCTTCCATCATGTAACCTAAAGCACTACCCAGCACGTCAGCAACACATCTAAGCAAATTCAAGCTCAGCACTTGGGCTTCCAATACCAATCGAATCATCGCCGGTGGCCGCGCCCCCACTCGTCGTCTTGCACTCCCTCCACGCGACATGCAACTGATGGGTAAAAGCGACGGTAGCATCATCATTGCTCATCTCGCCCGCGGCATTAGCATCCTTGCTGGTGAGGGCAATGCGGTTATTAACATTGAGGATGCCGTTTGCGCCGCAGGGGCTCCAAATGGTAGCCGTGGTTTCGACCGTGTCTTGCTTGGTGTAGACGAGCCCGTTGGCCAGGGCGCCGCCGCCAGCCACAGACATGCGCGTCGTTTGCGTCTTGCCCGCGTCCTCGCTGAAGTAGTACGTCGTGATGAAGGTCCCGTTCACCCCGTCGTCCAGCCGCGCCCACCCGTGGTACGTCGCGTCGACAACCGCGTATTGGAAGCCACCGGGGTACCGCAGGTTTAGGTGGAGTTGGCAGTTTTTCGACCGGTCGGACGGCACGGTGCCGGGGCCGATGTAGGCTTGGAATTTGTCGAAGCCGTAGGTGATGACCTTTTGGGGGGAGAAGAGGGGGTCGTGTTAGTTTGAGATGAGGGGGGTGAAGAGGAAAAGAAGGGGGGGGAGGGGAGTTGGGGGTTTGGAAATGTGTATGTGTATGTGTGTGTGTGTGTGTGTGTTTGTATGTTGGGATGTAAGTGAAAGATTGGGTTTAGGAGCTTACAGTCTTATCGGCGGATTTGCTGGTGGACACGGAACCCTGGGGGCATCCGTTGCCAGAGTAGGTAGTATCCGAGATGGTGATATCATTGGGGTTAGGACCATCGGCTCGCTTGACCGGAGTCGCGGTGGCGAGCAGAGGAAGGAGGAAAGCAGCGATTTTGGAGTGCATGGTTGCAAAAGTTTGTACAAGTGAATGAGAGCGAGCCACAGGGCCTTGAAGTGTTGTCGAGAAAGAAGTGAAGGACTGGATTGGAATCTTGCAATGATTTTAACACAAGCAAGGGAAAACCACCTCCTCTTTATACTCTTCTGCCTTTGCCTCACGATACACCAGTATATATTATCCCGCGGCTTTCAGAATCCACCCTGCTTGTCAGGCGCCCTGGCCTTCTCTCGCTTCCCGCTCGACATCACGAGCGGTGTCAATATGGATGACTAGAGGTCAAGTGTTGTTTTCTGGAGCGGGCCGGGTTCAGTTTCCAATTTTAGGTTCAATTCAAGTGGCATCGGTATTAAGACTACCATGTCTTAATCCTCTGCCAAGATTTACAAGATGCCTTTTAGATTGAGTCCTTGATGTCGCTGGTAAACATGAGTGGAGTGATAGTTTATTCACATACTGCCTCATGACTAAGAGCACAAAGCTGAAGTTGCAAAAAAGCAGATATACAGATCGATTCAGGCCATGATCAACATTTGTTTTTTTCTTCTTCTCCTTTTGTAGTAACAGTGTAAACGGCCTACTAACTGTACAGGCGAGTTGCAGGTACATCTGGTGGGGAATCTGCAGGAGGACTATTGTCTGGTTAGTGGCGTCCTGCAGCAAGACCCTGGAAACCGCGGGAGTGAAGCATTATAGTAAAGATACGAAAAGCTTCAATCGCAGGTAGATTGATTGCATCGCTTCAGAGAAAGCTCTGGACCTGCATCATAGTGCTGTCCCGCTTTCTAGAGCGCTTAAAAATAACCTCGGCCGTGTCACGATAATATAAACGCTTGGCGGGGGAAAGTCACCGAAAAGAAAAAGATTCAGGTCCAGGTCAGGTGATGAATCCGGGTGCGGTGTATCGAACCAAGCGGGAAGCGGACAATGGAAACAAATGCTGCAGGGCTTGGCCGCCGGCTAGTACTACAAAAGGAAAACATCTGTCCCGTACCCTGAGTGGTACTGCAACATTTGTGCTTACAGAACACGGTCTCGAATAGCGCGCCGTAATATCGAAGCAATATGGAACGTCTCGCTTAATTGGGTAAATACAGGCATCTTACCAAAAACCCATGGTTCGACATCTGTCTCCCGATTCAATCTGTGAGGTTTAACCGGGGGTCTGGCGTCAATCGTTTGTGCTTATTTTCCCCCACCCTTGCACATTGTTCCCCACTTAAACTTCCCATATTCAATCTGTTGTCTGGAGAAAACTCCCTGGTCACGACTTTTCGTCCCTTTCAAATTTCCCCTCCGCAATATGAGGCTACATTAATCGAACCACTGTTGCGATTCGTTTCGACTCAGCCCTAAGCTTCTCGACCGTCTTTGTTCGTCTCCGGGTAATTCGAGATACGAAGTTTAAAAAGTTTCACGTCGCAGCCGCGCTATACGACCGGATGATCTTGAGTAAGAGATATCACGTAATAGCTCGGTCAACGGAAGATACTTTGTGCGGTTTGAGCAAATATGGAGCGGATCTTGGCGCAGCTCAACCAGAATTCAGATATTAAAAGGCGATTTCCTGCCATGGCCAATGTGGCCAAGGTAATGGTCAAAGCAGAGGTGTTATACAAGTGGAGTCTAGAAGTAGCTCCAGGTACCGGGTGAGCGCCAAGGCAATATACTCATTTGTGAAAACCAGAACGATTCCTGGATGCGTATCCAGACACTAGCCGTCAAGCGTATCAGCGAAGGCAGCTGGGACGGAGACTGGAAATACACCATGGTCTCTTGCACCGCAAACACTATGACGCTCGGAAGTGAGCACATCTGGAAGCGAGCAAGATTTCGAGCATGGACACACCGTCAGCCATTGCGACAAACACATCAGAAGACATATCGCCACACGTTAGCGGAGGAAGCATAGAAAGGTATATATGCATCCCCTCCACCCGTAGCTCAGCAATGTTAAAATCGCATACGTAGCCTCATGGCGCGAAGCCCGAAAGTTTCTACGGGTACAGCGGCACGTCGCAAGCAAGCGTGAGCTATAAAAAGAACCAAGAACAAAATAGACCTCGCGCCGCTCCCTCATGTTACGGGTAGTAGTAGTACGGCGAGTACTTTCCAATAGGCGCATGCATAGGAGAACGAGAAAAAGATGACAACCCCAACCATTTGGCGAATACTGGCCAGACTTGACGCAATGTTCGTATGGGCGGACCGAAGTTGGGGTTGACAAAAGGATATCAATGACTCTATGATGACAACAACAACGATGACGACGCCAAGAGTGCTGGAGATGGAGTTTGTGGTTGCCCGAGTCCATGATACATGCGATCGAACTCTGACTTTGTTTTCAGCTGGCTTGGTAATGTTGATGTTAAGTAGAACGGCGCTTGAAGACACACATCATTGTCTCCACAGAAGCCACACAGGCAGCCACATAGGTAAACCGCGAATACCACAGGGCGCTCCCCCCTCCCCTTTACAAGTCAAGTAGTACCAAAAAAAAGGTTCCTTGTGGAGGCGTCCATGCGTCATCTGAGCGCTCTCCACACGTGGAAACACGATCTGGACGGGAGATGCAGGGGCCCAGAACAACCGGGGGGGGGTGGGTGGTCAAGCGCAAGTGAACATGCACGAAACTTGAAATCAGTTTCGGTGATATGCTCCCTAGGTTGTGGGTTGACGAGGCTGAGCAAATGTCTTGCATGTACGTTGGAGACCAAAAAAAGTCTTGGTCAAGGGGGTGTCTAGGCGGATCTCGGCCGGTCGGACGAGTACTCGCCTACTGACGTAACTTGGAACAGAAAAATCTCTTGCGGCTCTTTACTCCTGGAGCTATGCCCAATTGTGTGTTCGTAATTCTGATCATGAACCGCTGGTTTGGGTAAAGTGCACTTCCTTCGGTCTCGGACTTTGTGAGGTTTTTTTTGCAGCAGTGTTAGTTCAAGTTTTGCACGACTCTCCCATGCAGTAATGCCAAGGCAATGCCGCGGCGCGGACGAATAGTTCATGCGAATAGCAGCACTTTGAGTGAGTGTGGTTGTGAACTTTGACTGTGCAAGATGGTAATGCATATGGTAATGCATATGGGATATTTGGAAATGTGGCTGGCGCGTAGACTGACATGCAGCCACAAGCCACAAAGCGCATAGGCGAAGAAAAGACTCATAGACAATAAAGCATGGACGGGCGGATGCCCGTTAGCCGACGAGGACGACAAAGAGGGAAGCCGTTGTCATTGTTGTGGTGATGGTGATAAAAGGGGGCCCATGAGGCTGAAGCATGCCATGTGGGGCTAGCGCCGACTAGTGGGATCGACCGAGCCGTTAGCGTCCGACTTACGAAAGACCCAACTGACCCACACATGATTTCCTCGCCGCCCCCTTGGGACGGAACTTGACCGACGATGGTGAGAAACCGCTCACCGGTGGCCTTATGAACGCACGATGATGCTTTGATCGAGGACGCTGTGCGGCTGATCTGCCGCATCATCTATAGGACTGGACACCAATCGCGAAAAGGGTAGCTTCTATCGCACCCGAATCCGAGGTACGACTCGGTACTCAACATCGGCTCGGTAATGCCAATTACCCACAAGAGCACCGGATCTGGAAGAGAACCATGGTACACGCTGACGCCCAGGCATGCATTTGCAACGCCCCGTTAGGGACGTTGTCGGATGCTCAGGATTTGCTGCGACTAGAATTAGCGAAGGGCCAGCCTGCTCGCTTTTCGCACACACGGACACGGTCTTGGGAGTTTGCTCCAGCCACTTTGCTTTCGCTCCTTGTTCTTGCATCGCCACAGTTGGGAGAGACAGTCTAGTGTTTAGCAACGAGCCGCCCTGCCATGTGATCGAAAAAGGTTCAAGTTCACTATTTCTTCCCGTTACATCCAGGTGTAAATCGCGGCTCGGCGTCGCAGGGTCCCTCGGCTTTGCCGTACATCACCGCTCAGCGTGTGGCTTGGCCAAAGCAAACATTGTGGGGAATGAAACGCTCCGCTTCCTTCGACCGTATTGTATCGTATTTTGCACATCGCTGTGGCCATGCTCTTGCGGCGTGTCTTTGGCGAGGTGGGGATAGGCGAGTGAGAAGAAAACTGGCCTAGGCCAGTCTAAAAGGCTTATCACTGCTCAAACGTTAGTGCGAACGCTGTATCCGTAATGGGCTGGTCGAGCACCCGTCGTAGGCAAGTACATGTTTGTACCCCTGGAGGAGACTATCGAAGTAGTAAACAGCGGGCTGTAAGCTAGTCCTTCTGGGCTAAGCTGCACTCCCAAAAAAGCCAGCCCGACGGTCAAAAATAGCTAGGGTTTCCGCCCAATGACTCGATTGGTCCACGTCGCGAGGGAATCAGGAGAAACACCTCTGTAAACACCAGGGATGACAGCAGGCGGTGGTGGGGAACCAGGTTGTTTTCAATCGAGTACTAGGGTATTGGCTCTGACAATTTTCTTATCGCGCGCCTCCAGCCAGGCTCCCTGCCAACGCCCATGAGGTCCCCTTTTCCTCGAAACTAGAAGACTGAACGTACCAGTTGCTAGTATACGGCGGAGAATAACCTAAATGGCGACGTCCACAGCCGCTGATTGGTGATAATGCCTCGATACCTGCATGCGCCTGAAAAACAACCGGCGACTACAGGTATGACAATTCATCCGGGGCTAAGATAAGGTTTAGTGAACTAGTGCCCTCAGGTACAGCCGCCAAATCCTGCCACAAGAAGAACCGAGCTAACCGACCATGCTTGTGGCGCTTCTCATGACATCGATCTCGAATCAGTCAGTAGTTGAGAAGCGAGACGAGAGCACTGAGCGAGGGCCTTGTTGTATATAAGAGCGTCTGCCACACAGCACATCATCTCATCATCAGCACTGGTCTTCACCACGTTCCAATCGCTTCTATCCTTTTGATACTCTCGCTACAACTGTTTCATACACTCACTCACTATGCGTTCTTACCACCTTCTTGTGGCGACCGCCGCCCTTGTAGCGGCCTCGCCTGCTCCCC